TGATGTTTTCGAACTGTGAAATTTAAGTTTTATCTTACCTTGGTAGTGCTTGGAAGTGTTTGAGTCCTATTAAATGTGTCTCCTTCATTAATGCTGATTAGTTCTGCATCTGGCAGTGGAAAGGTCGAAGGAAACACGACTACATCACTCTTTATTGTGTCTGAACTAAAACACACGTCGTACTGTTGTGTGGATTTAGAGAAGGACCAGCTTCCGTCTGGATGTGTGCTGATCACTGGAGCGCTGTACCTGCTGAAACTGCTGTCTGTCCTGTAGCATTTAATTGCTATCAAACCCACCAGACTCAGTAAAAAGATGACTGATACTGAGACAATAGCGATGAGCAGATACAGATTCAGATCCGAAAAACTCTCCTCTTTAACAGGAACTTCTCTGAATGATGTCTTTATGTCATCCAGACTCTCAACAACCACAACATCCATGGACATAGTTGCTGAGAGTGATGGCTCTCCATTATCAGACACTGTGATAAGAAGTGGGTGAGTTTTTAAGTCATTGTCACTCATTCGTCTGTTAGTCCTTATTTCTCCAGTGCTGCTTCCAATGCGGAAGAGATTCGTTCCTTTGGGTTCAGTTAGATGATAAGACAGAAGTGCGTTATATCCAGAGTCAGCATCAACAGCTCGGATCTTGGCTACAAAGTATCCCGCTTCAGCAGAGTAGGGAATGTTCTCACTATTAACTGATCCAGGTTCAGAATAAGGCGGTAAAATAACCGGACTGTTGTCATTCTCATCCAGAATAAACACATTTACAGTCGCGTTACTGCTCAGAGGAGGAACACCAGAGTCTGTTGCCATAACTTGAAACTGAAATCTCTTTGTTTCTTCGTGATTAAATGATTGCAAACTGAATATTTCTCCACTTAAAGAGTTTATATTTATCAGTGTTGTTATAGGAACACTGGAGCTGGAACTGTCTAACAGTGAATATGAAAGTTCTGCGTTTTCACCAGTGTCTGAATCATCAGCGGACACTTTTATCATGAGACCTCCAGCTTGACCATTCTCCCTTAGAAAAGCCTTAATAACTGGTGCTGGGAAATGTGGAGCATTGTCGTTAACATCAGAGATATGTAGAGTTATAACAGTGCTGCTGGAAAGAGACGGAGTTCCTTCATCTGCAGCTGTAATTGTGATGTTATACAGAGAAGCACTCTCTCTGTCCAGAGGTCCATCTACCACTAGAGAATAATGATTGTTATATGACGTGTCCAGTTTGAAAGGAAACGAGCCTTTCAGAGCACAGTGTACAATGCCGTTTTTACCTCCATCTTTATCAGACACTGTGACTAAAGCAACAGCAGTTCCTGAATTTGTGTCTTCTTTCACACTTTCCAAAAGAGAAGTCACAATTATCTCTGGTGCATTATCATTTTCATCCATAACTTCTATTAAAACTTTACATTGTGTGCTCTTTGGTGGGCTGCCTTTATCTCTCGCCTGAACTCGCAATTCAATTGCAGCATTTATCTCATGGTCTATTTGACCCTTCACAACAATGTCCCCAGTTTCAGGAACCACAGTGAATAGACTTTGCTTTTTTATGTTTCCATGTTCAGCTATTGAGTAAATAATGTCACTGTTGGTGCCCTCGTCCAAATCAGTAGCAGTCAAAGAGATGATTCTTGTACCAACAGAAACGTTTTCACTCACCTTTATCTTGTACAAAGGTTTGCTGAAGACAGGCTTGTTGTCGTTTATATCAATTACATTAACTATTACACTTAATGTGCCAGTCTTTGCAGGCTTTCCTCCATCGATCGCTGTCAGTACAAGAGGAATTACCCATTGTTTTTCGCGATCTAAAGGTTTTTGGAGCACTAATTCAGCAGACACACTCTGCTCTTCAGTTTGCACGTCAATAGAAAAGTGTTCATTCTTGCTCAGGTTGTAGTCTTTCAGTGTATTAATGCCAATGTCGTTATCTTCAGCTACAGGAAGATTAAATCTCTCCCCTGGAACAACATCCTCTGTAATGTTTATCGTTATAACGCTGTCCACAAAATATGGAGCAATATCATTAACATCCAGAACATTTATTTCAATTCGATACAGGCTATGAGGATTTTGAACAACAGCCTCCAAATTAAGAGCACACTGCTGAAGATAGAAGCATAACTCCTCCCGGTCAATTCTTTCATTCACAAACAACGCTCCCGTTTTTAAATCCACATCAAAATATTTCCTGTTGGATCCAGATACAAGCTGCAAGATACGAGATTCCAGAACACTGATCTTGAGATCCTTTGCTATATTTCCGACAACAGTTCCCTTATTTACTTCCTCCGAGACCGAATAGATAATCTTGCCGCATGAAGATCGCCATAAACAAAAATGCAGAGCTGTTATGACGCACAGATATCTTAAGCTTTCCATAACCGTTTCTTCAAAGCCTCAAATATGAATCCGTTTAAAAAACGCAGTTTTTTGTCTCGTTGCTGCCAGGACATTAGTCTCTGAAGCCTGTATAATACCTTATCAATTCCACATGACTACAGTATATACGTGGTTGCTCTTCCACTGTAAGGGAGGAGCCTCATTTTAATAAAAGGAGTGCTTTCAATTCGTGGTCTGCAGCGACATCGCGCGTTTTAACTGCATAATTATTTAAGATATTTTATTTAAATTGCAATTTACCAGAGTATAAATTTATTCTTTAAAGAATGGGATTTGTTAATTGCAAAGTATAAATGCAATCAACACACTTACGTCTGTAAATATCCCCAGCACTTGTTAAAAAGGGAATACATTCTGTTGGTTGTAGGAATCAGACAAAATAGAATGTATCTACATCTAACCTAATTATTATATAATTAACTATAGACCAATTAGTCTTCTCCCGGTTCTTTCTAAAGTGCTGGAGAAGGTTGCATCAGAACAATTTTTGCAGCACTTAGAGACTAATAATCTTTTACACCCTTTACAATTTGGTTTTAGACATAACCATTCTACAGAAACTGCTACTTGCTTATTATTAGAAAATATTAAGCGGTCACTCGATAAAGGATTTAAAGTTGGTGCAGTATTCCTGGATCTGAAAAAGGCATTTGATACCGTAAATCATAATATTAATCATAATATTTTAATGTAAAAAATAACAAAGTATAATATATCAAAACAATGTCTGTTATGGTTTGATTCGTATTTTAAAAAATCGTGAACAAAGTGTTGTCATTGATAATTGTAAGTCAGTTCCTCATAATATTGATATAGGAATTCCTCAGGGAACAATTTTGGGTCCGATTCTTTTTAGCATTTATATTAATGATCTTCCAGAAGTGTGTCCTGATGCGAGTCTTCAAATGTATGCTGATGACACGGTTGTCTACGTATCTGGTAGGAACTGTATGGAAATTGAAGAAAAGTTGACAAGAAATTTAGAGAAAGTGTCAGCTTGGCTTGATGCCTCTTTTTTAACTTTAAATACTAAAAAGACAAAGTCCATATGCTTTTCAATAAGAAAATTACCGGTAACAGAATCATTAAACATTAGAATTAAAGATGAGATTATAGAACAAGTAGCAGAAGAAAAATATCTTGGTATGATTGTAGATTCTCAGTTAAATTTTAAAAGTCATGTTAAAAAGTTGCGTAAAACGATTAAAGCAAATCTTACCAGCTTTAAAATAATACGAAATTGTTTAACATATGATCATGCTTTTTTGTTTTTAAATTCGATGATATTATCACACATGGCATATGGATTAGCCATTTGGTCTCAGACAAATCAATCTATAATTAATCAGGTTAAATGTCTTTACAATAGAGCTTTGAAAATTTTAGATAGAAAGCAAATAAGATACCATCATTGTCAGATCCTAAGCAAATACAAGATTTTGAGCTTTGCTCACTTTGTCTTTTTTCATTATGTAAAGTTTGTGTTTAAATGTTTAAATGGTCTTGCTCCTATGCCCTTATGTACATTTTTCGAGAGATTGCAGGGAAGCAGTAGATCCACTAGAGCGGCTTCTAGTGGAAACTGTAAAGTTATACATTGTAAAACATCATTTGCTCAGACTGTTCTCTCAGTGAAAGGTGTACAATTTTGGAATGCATTACCGGACGATTTAAAATCTACTGTAAATTATAATTATTTGAAGAAAGCCACGAAATCTTGGTTGATACATCAACAAACCTGTAGTCATGTTTAGTGTATTTATATTATAAATTTGTGCATTACTTGTTTATTGTAATTGTAATTTATAAAAGCCCTCCTAGGGACAAGTGTTGCAAATTAGCTTCGGCTACAAGCACTATGGTACATGCATGGGATGATTGTTTTTTACATTTTCATCTATGTTTATTGTATCTGTCCCTAACAAATAAAACATTAAATAAAATAACCGAGATGACCAAAATGTACGGAGAGAAAAGCGAGGACGAAATGTTCATTGTCCATGGTGCTGAAAACTGTTATAGGATAACACCACCTTAAGACTTCGATATTGTCTTTGTTATTCATAAAGCGCATTTTATTGCATTTTGTCTACGACCGTTTATTTATACTTGTCTTTTTTTCTGTCACTTAATAATAGCAACGACGACAAAGGCAATGGAATTCAGTTCAGCGAAATTAATTAAAAGAAGCGACAGCAACAGCTTGACTCAAATCCAACGCATCAAGTACTAAAACAATAAATGAGTAAATAAATAACAAATATACATACTTACATAAATCTCCATAGAACTGATTTCTAACTTTTTTTAACACAACTAGGTTTCCAAAATCTTCTTACCTTCTCAGTGCTCGGAAGAGTTTGGGTTCGTGTAAAAGTATCTTCTCCATCAATGCTGATCAGTTCTGCATCTGCTGGCGGAAATGGCGAGGGGAACACGACTACGTCACTCTTTATCGTGTCTGAACTAAAACACACGTCGTACTGTTGTGTGGATTTAGAGAAGGACCAGCTTCCGTCTGGATGTGTGCTGATCACTGGAGCGCTGTACCTGCTGAAACTGCTGTCTGTCCTGTAGCATTTAACTATTTTTACCCCCATCTTTATCAGACACTGTGACTAAAGCAACTGCAGTTTCTGAATTTGTGTCTTCTTTCACACTTTCCAGAAGAGAAGTCACAGTTATTTCTGGTGCATTGTCATTTTCATCCACAACTTCTATTAAAATTTTACATTGTGTGCTTCTTGGTGGGCTGCCTTTATCTTTCGCTTGAACTCGTAACTCAATCGCTGGATTTACCTCGTAATCTATTTGCCCTATTACAACAATATCTCCAGTTTCGGGGATAATGGTAAATAGGTCTTGCTTCTTCACATGACCCACAATCGAGTACTGAATTTCGCAGTTTATTCCTTCATCCAAATCAGAAGCAAACACAGATAAAATTGTAGTACCAGTAGCAACATTTTCCCTCAATTTGACTTTGTAAAGAGGTTGACTAAACACTGGATTATTGTCATTAACATCCATGACGTTTATACAAATATTTAATGTTCCCGATTTAGGTTGCTTTCCTCCATCTACTCCAGTGAGAACTAACTTAATTGTCGCTTGTTTCTCTCGATCTAAAGCTTTGTTCAGCACTAACTCAGCAGACACACTCTGGTCTTCACTCTGTGTATCTAGACTGAAATGTTCATTCGGACTCAGTTTGTATTCTTTCAGCGAATTACTGCCAACATCAGAGTCCTCGGCTACAGGGAGAGGAAATCTCTCTCCAGGGCTTGCGATTTCGGTAATATTCACAGTAAATTCTTTAACAGGAAAATGTGGCGCATTGTCGTTTATATCCAAGATCTTAATCTCCACTCTGTAAAGACGATGAGGATTTTTAGCAAGGGCCTCTATATTCAAAGAGCATTTCTGATTCGACAAACATAACTCTTCGCGGTCAATTCTTTCATTAACAAACAGCACGCCAGTTTTCAGATTTACATCAAAATACTTCTTATTTGATCCAGACACAATCTCAAACATACGAGATTCCAGTTCATGAACATTCAAGTTCAGGTCTCTCGCTATATTCCCAACAACTGTCCCCTTATTTACCTCTTCCGGTACGGAATAGACGATCTGAGCAAACGCAGAATCCAACAAAAAAAGGGAAAATATAAATCCGCATTTGAAATATCCCTTAAAAACCATGATGGTCATTCACAAGTGGCCTGACGACAGAAAAAATGTAAACACGAGTATTTCTCTTTTGCATTCAGGAAACACGAGACGAAATAGAAACCATCATGTCTGAAAAGCAGAGACACTAACACCACGATTCTGAGAGAGCGAGAGAGAGAGAGAGAGAGAGAGAGGCTTCAGAGTAAAGACTAAACCTTTATCTGACGGTCTGTAGTGACACCATGTGCTAAAACTATGCCATAGCCTACTAGAAAAATTCTACTTGCAAAAGATTTAAAGTGAGAAATAACAATGTATTGGGATGACACAACAACAGCAACAATAATATTCAAAGTAACCCAATACAAAAGCGAAGCAAAAATACACCACGATATAATGTTACTTAGCAGTCTCAACACTTGAATGATCTAATAAAACGGCAAACAATGTCGTCCAAAAGAAGCACGTGAAGCATATTAAGATAAATGCAAACTCTGTAAAAATCAGTGGTCGATTAACAGTTAATAACATAATTTTATTACAAAATAATGATCAACTAAAAAAGCTGCACAGTAAAACTGTGAATAAGGTCAAATGTTTTAATATTTAATATAATAATAATAATAATAATAGAGATTGATATTCGTTTTCGGCGTTTCATTTTGCATTTTAATTGCCTATCATCTTGACATAGAGAATTTTCTGTTTTATATATTATTTCGATTGTATTAATTTTAAATACAAAGTGTTCAATTTGAAGCACGAAAATGTAAAAACACGATTAAAACATCCACCAGACAGATCCAGATTAATCCAACACAGTCTCTTGAAAATTCATGACTGTTTTACGTTTTGGCAAATTGGCGACATTTGTACAACCTACTTACGCCCCACTGAGGGTTGTGTTTAGGGGTGCAACTTCATGTTTACTTTATATAACAATTTACACGTTTTCCTTTGAATCACAATAAATTGCAAGTTGCTTGTGATATCCTTAGGCCTACATTTTCTCGTGATAACAGGTTAGATTAATCATTGTCCGTATTCGAAGGCCACAAGGCATAAGAACAAAGAAAAAAAATCAAGTTTCATCAAAACCAAAAAAAATAAAAAATAAAAATACGTGAAGTGAAAAATAAAACAGGAACTTGGTTAATAGCAAAACGATTATTTACCATGTATCGGAATTAATTGCGGACAGTAATTCAGAACAATAATTCAGCTCGAAAAATGTATCATTCAGCAAAAGTTTTCAACATGTCTTACCTTCCCAGTGGTAGGCAGAGTTTGTGTGCGCGTAAAAGTATCTTCTCCATCAATGCTGATCAGTTCTGCGTCTGCTGGCGGAAATGACGAGGGGAACACGACTACATCACTCTTTATTGTGTCTGAACTAAAACACACGTCGTACTGTTGTGTGGATTTAGAGAAGGACCAGCTTCCGTCTGGATGTGTGCTGATCACTGGAGCGCTGTACCTGCTGAAACTGCTGTCTGTCCTGTAGCATTTAACTGCTATCAAACCCACCAGACTCAGTAAAAAGATGACTGATACTGAGACAATAGCGATGAGCAGATACAGATTCAGATCCGAAAAACTCTCCTCTTTAACAGGAACTTCTCTGAATGATGTCTTTATGTCATCCAGACTCTCAACAACTACAACATCCATGGACATAGTTGCTGAGAGTGATGGCTCTCCATTATCAGACACTGTGATAAGAAGTGGGTGAGTTTTTAAGTCATTGTCACTCATTCGTCTGTTAGTCCTTATTTCTCCAGTGCTGCTTCCAATGCGGAAGAGATTCGTTCCTTTGGGTTCAGTTAGATGATAAGACAGAAGTGCGTTATATCCAGAGTCAGCATCAACAGCTCTGATCTTGGCTACAAAGTATCCCGCTTCAGCAGAGTAGGGAATGTTCTCACTATTAAATGATCCAGGTTCAGAATAAGACGGTAAAATAACTGGACTGTTGTCATTCTCATCCAGAATAAACACATTTACAGTCGCGTTACTGCTCAGAGGAGGAACACCAGAGTCTGTTGCCATAACTTGAAACTGGAATCGTTTTGTTTCTTCGTGATTAAATGATTGCAACTTGAATATGTCTCCACTTAAAGAGTTTATATTTATCAGTGTTGTTATAGGAACACTGGAGCTGGAACTGTCTAACAGTGAATATGAAAGTTCTGCGTTTTCACCAGTGTCTGAATCATCAGCGGACACTTTTGTAACGAGACCTCCAGCTTGACCATTCTCACGTAGAAAAGCGTTAATGACGGGTGCTGGGAAATGTGGAGCATTGTCATTAACATCTGAGATATGTAGAGTTATAACAGTGCTGCTGGAAAGAGACGGAGTTCCTTCATCTGCAGCTGTAATTGTGATGTTATACAGAGAAGCACTCTCTCTGTCCAGAGGTCCATCTACCACTAGAGAATAATGATTGTTATATGATGTCTCCAGTTTGAAAGGAAACGAGCCTTTCAGAGCACAGTGTACAATGCCATTTTTACCCCCATCTTTATCAGACACTGTGACTAAAGCAACTGCGGTTCCTGACGTTGTGTCTTCTTTCACACTTTCCAGCAGTGGAGTAACATTTATCTCTGGTGCATTATCATTTTCATCCATAATTTCTATTAAAACTTTACAATGTGTGCTCTTTGGTGGGCTGCCTTTATCTTTCGCTTGAACTCGTAACTCAATGGCAGGATTCTCTTCGTAATCAATTTGCCCTATTACAACAATATCTCCAGTCTCGGGGATAATGGAAAAAAGGTCTTTTCTCTTCCCATGACCAACAAATGAATACAGCATTTCACTGTTTATGCCTTCATCTAAATCAGAGGCAAACACAGATAAAACTTTTGTTCCACCAGCAACATTTTCCTTTAGTTTGACTTTGTAAAGAGGTTGACTAAACACTGGATTATTATCATTATTATCCATTATGGTTATAATAATATTTACCGTCCCCGATTTAGGTTGCTTTCCTCCATCTACTCCAGTGAGAACTAACTTAATTGTCGCTTGTTTCTCTCGATCTAAAGCTTTGTTCAGCACTAACTCAGCAGACACACTCTGGTCTTCACTCTGTGTATCTAGACTGAAATGTTCATTCGGACTCAGTTTGTATTCTTTCAGCGAATTACTGCCAACATCAGAGTCCTCGGCTACAGGGAGAGGAAATCTCTCTCCAGGGCTTGCGTTTTCACTGATATTCACAGTAAATACTTTAACAGGAAAACGTGGCGCATTGTCGTTTATATCCAAGATCTTAATCTCCACTCTGTAAAGACGATGAGGATTTGTAGCAAGGGCCTCTATATTCAAAGAGCATTTCTGATTCGACAAACATAACTCTTCGCGGTCAATTCTTTCATTAACAAACAGCACGCCAGTTTTCAGATTTACATCAAAATACTTCTTATTTGATCCAGACACAATCTCAAACATACGAGATTCCAGTTCATGAACATTCAAGTTCAGGTCTCTCGCTATATTCCCAACAACTGTCCCCTTATTTACCTCTTCCGGTACGGAATAGACGATCTGAGCAAACGCAGAATCCAACAAAAAAAGGAAAAATATCAATCCACAGTCGAAATATCCCAAAAAGCCCATGATGGTCATTTGCAACTGGCTTGTGAACAGAAAAAAATATAAACGCGAGAGAATCTAATAGTTTTCTTTGCATTCAGAAAACACGAGGCGAAATAGAGATCATCATGTCTCAACTGCAGATGCACTAATACCAAGATTCTGAGAGAGAGAGAGAGAGAGAGAGAGAAAGAGAGAGAGAGAGAGGCGCAAGAGTAAAGACTAGACTTTTATCTTACGGTCTGTAGTGACACCATGTGCTGAAACTATGCCATAACCTACTAGAAAAATTCTATTTACAAAAACGTTAAAGTGAGAAACAACAGTGACACAACAACAATAGTAATATTCAAAGTAATCCAATGCAGAAAAGCAAAGCAAAAATACACCACCGAATATTATTATTTAGGCTACTAGCAGCATCAACACATGAATAATCTAATAAAACGGGAAACAAACAGACTGTCATCCAAAAGAAAGAAAGTGAAGCATGTTACGATAGAATGCAAATTCTGTAAAAAGCAGTGGTCGATTAACAGGTCATAAAAGAACTTTGTTACAACAAAATAATAACCTACTGAGAGAGCTGCACTGTGATACGGTGAATAGGCCAGAGGTTTTAATATCATAGAGGAAAAACACGTCTGGAAAGTTGAATGGATGAAGCATTCAAGGCTGTAATTGCAAGTTGTATTATTATTATTATTATTAGTAGTAGTAGTAGTAGTAGTAGTAGTAGTAGTAGTAGTAGTAGTAGTAGTAGTAGTAGTAGTAGTAGTAGTAGTAGTAGTAGTAGTAGTAGTAGTAGTAGTAGTAGTAGTAGTAGTAGTAGTAGTAGTAGTAGTAGTAGTAGTAGTAGTAGTAGTAGTAGTAGTAGTAGTAGTAGTAGTAGTAGTAGTAGTAGTAGTGTAGGGAATGTTCTCACTATTAACTGATCCAGGTTCAGAATAAGGCGGTAAAATAACCGGACTGTTGTCATTCTCATCCAGAATAAATACATTTACAGTCGCGTTACTGCTCAGAGGAGGAACACCAGAGTCTGAGATTAACCATCGTTTTCGCCGCTGCATCTTGTATTTTCATTTTAATTTCCTATTATTGCCTATCATGTGCGTCTTCTTGACACAGCCTATAGATTTTTTTTTTTTTTTATTAGGCTACATTAGTTTTAAACACAGTGTTTAATCTAATGCATTAAAACGTGAAAAACATTTGAAAACATCCTCCAGACAGACCCGATTAATTTAACACAGTCTCATGAAAATTCGCATCTATTACAGGTTTTTGGCAAATTAGCGACATTTCTACAGCATGCGTACGCCACACTGAGGGATGTAGTTAGGCTTGCAGCATACTTTTTATTATAAATTGCACGTTTTCCTTAGAATCACATTTTGCAAATTCGTAAGAAACTACAACTTGCTTGCAACATCCTTTAAGTGCCTAAGATTTCTCGTGATAACTGGTTGAATTGATCAAAGTACGTTATTCAAAGACCATAAAATAGCCTAAATTAAAATGTAAATGAATCAAAACAAATTTAAAATAGGTTAATTGAAAACAAGACAGCCACGTGGTAAATACCAAACCCACTATTATGGCAACTGTTAGAATTAATTTCGAACAGTTGAGAACAATAATTCACCTCGAAAAATTAATTATTCAACAAAAATTCCCAACGATCTTACCTTCGCAGTAGGAAGAGTTTGTGTGCGCGTAAAAGTATCTTCTCCATTAATGCTGATCAGTTCTGCATCTGCTGGCGGAAATGGCGAGGGGAAAACGACTACATCACTCTTTATCGTGTCTGAACTAAAACACACGTCGTACTGTTGTGTGGATTTAGAGAAGGACCAGCTTCCGTCTGGATGTGTGCTGATCACTGGAGCGCTGTACCTGCTGAAACTGCTGTCTGTCCTGTAGCATTTAACTGCTATCAAACCCACCAGACTCAGTAAAAAGATGACTGATACTGAGACAATAGCGATGAGCAGATACAGATTCAGATCCGAAAAACTCTCCTCTTTAACAGGAACTTCTCTGAATGATGTCTTTATGTCATCCAGACTCTCAACAACTACAACATCCATGGACATAGTTGCTGAGAGTGATGGCTCTCCATTATCAGACACTGTGATAAGAAGTGGGTGAGTTTTTAAGTCATTGTCACTCATTCGTCTCTTTGTCTTTATTTCTCCAGTGCTGCTTCCAATGCGGAAGAGATTCGTTCCTTTGGGTTCAGTTAGATGATAAGACAGAAGTGCGTTATATCCAGAGTCAGCATCAACAGCTCTGATCTTGGCTACAAAGTATCCCGCTTCAGCAGAGTAGGGAATGTTCTCACTATTAAATGATCCAGGTTCAGAATAAGACGGTAAAATAACTGGACTGTTGTCATTCTCATCCAGAATAAACACATTTACAGTCGCGTTACTGCTCAGAGGAGGAACACCAGAGTCTGTTGCCATAACTTGAAACTGGAATCTTTTTGTTTCTTCGTGATTAAATGATTGCAAACTGAATATTTCTCCACTTAAAGAGTTTATATTTATCAGTGTTGTTATAGGAACACTGGAGCTGGAACTGTCTAACAGTGAATATGAAAGTTCTGCGTTTTCACCAGTGTCTGAATCATCAGCGGACACTTTTGTCATGAGACCTCCAGCTTGACCATTCTCCCTTAGAAAAGCATTAATAATAGGTGCTGAAAAATGTGGTGCGTTGTCATTAACATCTGAGATATGTAGAGTTATAACAGTGATGCTGGAAAGAGACGGAGTTCCTTCATCTGCAGCTGTAATTGTGATGTTATACAGAGAAGCACTCTCTCTGTCCAGAGGTCCATCTACCACTAGAGAATAATGATTGTTATATGAGCATCTTCTTTCACACTTTCCAGCAGAGGTGTCGTAACTATTTCTGGCACGTTGTCATTCTCATCCACAACTTCTATTAAAACTTTACAGTGTGTACTTTTAGGAGGAACGCCTTTATCTCTCGCCTGAACACGGAGTTCAATTGCAGGCTGTTCCTCGTAATCAATCTGACCTTGAACAACAATTTCCCCTGAGTTAGAATTTACTGTAACCCGTTTCAGTTCATCTGTATATCCATGTCCAACAAATGAATATTGAATTTCACTGTTGATGCCCTCATCCAAATCACTGGCAGAAACAATAATAATTTTGGCTCCAATCATTGTGTTTTCTTTCACTTTAACTTTGTACAAAGGTTTGCTAAAAATAGGTTTATTATCGTTTACATCCATGACATTAACAACAACATTCAGTGTTCCAGATTTAGGAGGTTTTCCTCCGTCAATAGCGGTGAGTATTACGTGAATAACAGCTTGTTTTTCTCTGTCTAAAGCTTTATGTAGCACTAAATCAGCAGATATACTCTGTTGACTGCTATGAATATCTAAAGAAAAATATTCATTTGAACTGAGTTTGTAGTCTTTTAGAGAATTACTGCGAACATCTGAAACTTTTGCAATTGGTAGAGGAAATCTTTCCCCCAAATTTGCATCCTCTGTAACATTGAGAATATAATTGCTGTCCAGAAAAAATGGAGCATTGTCATTGATATCCAAAATTATAATTTCAAGCCGATAAAATCTGTGAGGATTTTGAGCAAGAGCCACTAAATTTAATGCACATTTCTGATTGTAAAGGAGGAGCTCAGATCAATCTCAAAGTCATGGTCTGCAGTGCCACCGCGTGTTGTAGAAGTGGAGAGACAATGAGATTCTACTTCATATAGTTTTCTATAAAAGAAAAAGTGAACTAAAGGTATCACCATACTCAAACAGTGAAACATAAACATTCGTGTCGACTCAATTATTACTAATCAACAAATACAAGTAATAATAAATGAATTAATTCAAAGACTATGTGCTATGTATTTAAGCACATACTTGTATGTACCTTGAGAAGGAAAATACGGCACTATCGCTGTCCATGGTCCTGAGGTGGTTTTGTTCTTTAAATACGAAATATTACAGACGAGCCATGAAAATGTATGATATCACATGGTAATTGTTACAACATAAAAAGAAAGAAAGAAAGAAAGAAAGAAAGAAAGAAAGAAAGAAAGAAAGAAAGAAAGAAAGAAACAGTCAATAAATATAGACTGTCGTATAGTGTACAAAATCCAAGTCAAAGAGAAATTAGAAACGCAGTAGGCTACAAGCAAATCAAACTTTAAAATGAAAACAAAGCTGCACAGTGATACGAATAAACATACGCCAGAGCCACGAGATGCCGAAATAATTTCCAAAACTAAAATGTGTCATTTGAGCAACTAGTGAAACATTAAAGCAATATTTGGACTTTGTGAATCGCGTCCAGTATTTTACTTATCTTTTGTTTGGGTAAGCGTTACATTTTTATTTTTAAATACTTAAAATAAAATTTCATTTTTAGTTCATAATACTTTATTTATTTTATAAACATCTAAACTTTATAAACATATAAACCAAGAAAACAAAAACAAAAAAAAAACTGTTAAAATAGCTTAGAAATAAATCGAATTAATGGTCACTCAAATGTTAATTTTACAAAACAGGTCCGGTAAAAGTGAAATGCAATGCAGAAGCAAGTTACAATGTCTTACCTTCTCAGTGCTCAAAAGGGTTTGCGTGCGCGTAAAAGTATCTTCTCCATTAATGCTGATCAACTCCGCGTCTGCTGGCAGAAATGGCGAGGGAAAAACGACTACATCACTCTTTATTGTGTCGGAAGTAAAACACACGTCGTACTGTTGTGTGGATTTAGAGCAGGACCAGCTTCCGTCTGGATGTGTGCTGATCACTGGAGCGCTGTACCTGCTGAAACTGCTGTCTGTCCTGTAGCATTTAACTGCTATCAAACCCACCAGACTCAGTAAAAAGATGACTGATACTGAGACAATAGCGATGAGCAGATACAGATTCAGATCCGAAAAACTCTCCTCTTTAACAGGAACTTCTCTGAATGATGTCTTTATGTCACCCAGACTCTCAACAACCACAACATCCATTTATCTCTCGCCTGAACACGCAGTTCAATTGCAGGGTGTTCCTCGTAATCAAT